TCTACGCAGTGATAACTTACGAGGCCAACCAAAGTAAAAGTCAGTGTTTTTATCCGCCCTCACGAGTTTACAATCAATAACACCAATGAAACGGAAGGCTCAGTTTGCCAGGGCGTAGTTCGATTCAGGATTTGATCTCAGAAGCTGCGCAACTTGCCACGACACCGTATCTGTATCATTTGAGGAGGGGGGGGACCTTCAGAAAACATCTCCACTTAAGGAAGCTCATTAGGTAAATGTTCAAAAGTTTTGGGATGCCGAGATCGAATTTGAAGCTCCAGAGAAACCTATGAGGGCTATTTGTGTAGATCGGCAGCGAAGAAGATCGATAAGTACCGCCCCTGCCGGGTCGCCGTCCTCCGTTCAGTGCGACCACCGTGGCAGTGTTCTCCTCTCATCTTTCTCTACTTTCCCCCCCCCTCTCTTTTCATTTTTTTAACTGTAATTTAGACTGACAAAATCAACTTGTGGTTGAGACGGTTCATTTCAGAATTCCGCCATTTTGAATCTCTGCACCGAATCGTTCCTTGCTAGAGCTATTTTCTGTAAGCCCTTATCGGCCCTTATGACCCGAAGATTCACTAGCCTCGAAAAAAACTGGGATTCTCGCGATAGGGGAGGACTTCCGCCTGAGCCCAGAGAGAAAAGATCTCTGCGATCGATGAAAAAAAAACCTGAAGATTCACTCCGCGATTGCATACTGTGGACAGTGGCGTTCATTTGCAAACTTGTAGCCGCACAGTGACTTTCCAGGGTCAAGGAAGCAAAAAAAATCATGGAGAACACCATGAGCACCCCCCCCCTTGGCATTTTTACAGTACGAGTGCTCTAGACCTGCTCGTTCTATACCAGCGAAGCGATATCCTGCTGCCTCTAGCCCACCACTCGTTTCTTCACGTCATGCCATGCTTATACAATCCAGCAGTGAAAAGGAAAACAAAAAACATTCTGCAAAAATTGAAATCGTGACAGAAAATAGTCTTCGAGCTTTGACGGGCAGGGATAACTGAGGCGGTGGGCGTCAGAACTGCCACTCATGAAGGCTGCAGTGCCTTCGCTACTCACTGTGAAGCGACAAAAGTAAGACAGTTAGAGACTGCGGACCAGACCACCTGTAGAAGGAAGGACGCCTGCGAAGTGGTTGAGCGAGAGGACTGCCTTCAAGTGCGTTGTACACAGCGCACACGAAAAGGGAAAAATTTCGAAAAGTCAACAGCAGGAAAATTCTAGAAAGCTCGAAAAATTCCCAGCAATCCAGCGACCGGAACAGTTCTTGTGGACTCTTCTTTGACTTTCGTCATAGCACCGACACTCCTTGTGGACTTTGGTCAGAGTCATCGATTTCGACCCCGCGGGTTCACCAGGGCAGACCAAAGTCCATGCAGCCATCGATCTCGACCCCGCGGATATAGGTGGTAAGAAGAAGAAGGGTGGCCGATCGATCAGCGGACAACCCTGCTCCGATGGGGTAGGTTTCCGCTATTCGCCTTACTCTTCCCTTTCTAGCCTTCATTTGCAAACTATCCTTCTCTAACTATTAAACTCTAGTAATCTCTAATTCTAATAATCTACGAACTTGTGGGTGCCCACTGAGATGCCCGTTTATGCTAGCTGGAGAGGGGGGGGGTCGTATTTCTCAGTGTGACAAATGTTTCCGCTTGCTGACTTCTCTTGGTCATTCTCGTTTCACGTGCGCTGTATACCTCCCTACCTACTGGGACACAATTCTTCGCTTACCATTTCTTTTCAAGGCTCGAACAAAATCCACAAACGCCCTCGACTCTGCCGCTGTTTGCTCGTTCTGAAATTGATTATGATTCTGATCTCTACATTGTGAAGAAAAGAAGAATTCGGCTCGTTAGCTATCCAACCATCCGGCAGGATTCCCGGTTCTCCACAGTGCAAGGTATGAACGCTGTCTGACCTATCTTTCGAGAAATTCAGTACAGTATTGTCGCTGCGGACTCTGTCAGGAAGGCTGGGTTTTGCGCCAGTCGAGTCTTCACTTTCTATGGACGCTGACAGTCGAGTACAATTGGTGGGAATCTGGCTTGTGCGGCGCCAAATCGACCCCTCTGAAACGCCTAAGCGCAGTGAGCAAGACTGTACTTATGTGCGGTAGGTAGTACATTTTTATAAGTACGTGGTGAAGCATGCGCGTGCGCACAAGTGATGCAACAGAATCACGCTGCATCGACTTAAGCCCATCGCCCTAATATTCCTTGAATTTCGTCGGCGTTTTGGGTGGAAAGGAAAAAACAGGTATCGATCCAGCGGTTTCTTTTTTTAGGGGGGAGGGGAACGCTATCGTTTGGAACGTTCAGGAGGGAAGCAAGACTCTTAAGAAAAAAAGCCACCTTTTGGAGCGAAAACGAATGTCTTGATATCGATCTAGCGTTCTGAGCGGAAAAAGAACCTTTCTCGAACCCCAGCTCGATGCAATCGTTTGCTTCGGATGATGAGACGTGTCAGCGCGGCTGCGTCTGGCGCGCTGCCTGCTCATTCTCCACTGGTGCTGAAGGGAATAAGTGCCAACGACTGGTTCAAAACGACTGATATGTGCGGTACGATACAGTCTTCCCATGTACTCCTTGCGGATTTCGCAGCTGCAAACGGCGCGGCCTGGCTGGTACGTCACAGTATGTTGTCTGAATACAATAGTGCAATGAGGATCCGTGGTGTTGAGGCAGCCATAGCCTAAGGACAACTCGAACTTAAAGGCACATGGCACGATAATTCCGTACTCTGTCTACGATTGTGGCAGGGGTGCTCGAAAGGGGAAAGTTTGCGAAAAAGCGAAGTCCAACAGTGAAAACTCACAAAAGAGCCCTTGTTCCACTCGATTCAGAGGGCAGTTTTGGACGAGTTCCCGTTGGCATCGTGCCATGTGCCTTTCGCATTTTCATTTGGTACGTCACAGTATGTTGTCTGAATACAATAGTGCAATGAGGATCCGTGGTGTTGAGGCAGCCATAGCCTAAGGACAACATGTTTGCCTCCATGTTCGTTGACTTTTTTGCTTTTAATTGCATGAATGGTTTTTCTGCCTAAGTTCTCTCTCTTCTTTTATCTCTTACCCATACCTCACACCTTGGTCCACAATACAAACGCATATGATCATACTTCCCTGCATCAGAGGATCCTCTCGGATGCCTTGAGCACTAAAAGGCGCTCACGCTTACTATTACTTACTATAAAAAGAAAGATCAACAAGTGAACTGGTTTCATCTAGGTTCACTTGGGGGTCTTACGCCTGAGGTGACAAACTGTCTTTTTTCCACAAAACAGTACTTTTTTGAATTTTTTCTTTTCTCAGTTGCAACATACAAGAAGATTGGATCTATAATTCAAATCACATCCGATATCATATTAGGTTGGTCGAAAAGTCCTGCGACACTTTGACCAATTTTTCGGACTAAATT